CCCCCTCCCGCGTATAAACTAATACAATCAATAATTTCTCTTCTTGTAATGAGAATTACTGCATTAAATATATTCAACAAAATTAATTATAGTGAATTTATCGGATGTCATAGAAATAAAATTTTGAGATGTTGCAAAAGATATATTTATAATTTATAAATCATATGTGTTAAAGGCAAAAATTAGGATAATAAATAATTAATAAATATTAGGATAATAAATAAATAAATAAATATTAAAATAATAAGTAACACGAAAATAATGAATCTAGGAAGTGAATAATTTTGCATCAATATAAAGTTTATATATAGGATACTACCATAACAATGCATTAATAACTCGTTCGACTGCGTAGGCGGGTAACTCTGGCCGAATAGTCGTAATAATGCTGACAGGACAACGAGTGGAGGTAACCTGCGATCCTCAAAAGGTCACCGCTGGCGATTTATTCCAGGTAATTTCTCACAACGAATACAAAATGTTTTTCAAACATTTATTTAATATTTCTATGACTTTTTTTATTAATGGTAAAAGCCACGTTGTATGTTCTATATGCAAACAAATATTGCTAATGTGTGTATATTGGAATTCGTTTATTAACACGTATTCGTTTATTTCCACGAAGAGTATTAATAAAAAAAATATTTGAATGAGAGACGTTCTCTCTCGAAAAGTTTAACCGTGTCACGTATCGCGTACCCAAGAAAATTGATTGAAACTCAATCAAAACTGCGAGTTATCGAGGATGCGCTATGGAGAGTGGTCGTCACTGATAAGGGGTTCAATTTATCGGCCAATTATATTCGAGTGAACTAAAGTTACCCGATCAAAAAAGTATCTTCGCGTACAATCAATAACGATCTTGAAAATAGCTTAGGATTTTGTAACAGATGTTAGTGGAAATTTTAATAAAGCAGCAAATAAATTTTACGAATAATTTTATTAAATCAATGCGTAATGCATTAAAAAAGTTTGGTGTACAATTATGCTCGTTAATATACTCATTTTTTTAATTAATAACTAAACATCTATGTGGTCATTTGGAAAATATTAGAGAACTTTACAGCGGAAGACGTTGCCATCACAGCTCATCTACTGGCGCGTAATCATTCACGAATTTTCTTTAATTAATAACTTAGAATTTTACGTGGTTGTTTGCAAAATGGTAGAAAAATTTTTTGTTCAGTTTAACCTAATCTATACACCGCGGCTCCTTTGAGTTACCGGACACTCTGTATGTCAGTGAAACTATTACTCTTTATGTTACTCTAATCTATGCATGTAGCTCTATCTATTGGATAGTTTAATTTAAGCGCCAAAAAGCGCCAAAAAGTTTTATTAATATGACTATTCTGGATAAAATGTTAACGGCAGATCTTGATGTTTCATCATGAACCGTATAGATACATTCAACCTGTAATTTTATTTTATGTATGTACATAAAGTAAAATGATGTGACGCGTTACTTGAGATGCTAATAAAATCAGAAGATACTAAAGAAACAATAAGCCGTCTCACAAAGTAACAAACGCAAATAAAATAGCAAAATTAGTTAAAACAATTATAAACAATTTCGAAAATTTATTATGTTTCTGCCAAAACCTTTAAATGCAAATTATTACGTATAATTTCCTCGCTTCCGTAACGTACTTTTCTGAGTGAGAGAGAGAGAGAGCTTTTCAGATGACACTAATAAATCACACCAACTGAACGTGAAATACGCGGCGTCTCGAGACCTTCGCGAAGGAATCGCGTGCTTTCACCCGCGCGACTGCTACTTGAAACCCGGCAAAAATCCTTGAAAAAAAAGAAGAAATATTTTATCTGCAAGTTCTCGAGCGGAACTTGTTCGATCGTAATGTTCCACACAGTGGCCTCTTGAACCCACAGTTGGGCCGCGGAAGCCAAGACATGACCGGTTGTTTACGAGACGACAAACTCCAGCGTGAACTCGCGAGAAGTCTGGCAAGTCGCCAAACCTAATCAGTATATACGACAAATTCAATCCGCTAATCGCGAATTATGTGATCTCAATGATAACGGTGTGTGTCATGCTGCGCCTTTCTATCTTACAAAACAAAAAAATATTATTGCGAAATATTTCTAACACCAACATTGCAGAGAAGGACGTCTGCCTCATATCGGTAAATCGCCGATTAATAAAAACGGGTAAAAACAATACCGATTATTTAAAGGGATGTCAATTTGAACGATTTGTCACATCAATATTGAACCGGTAATTAGAAACAGCGTAAAGTTTAGTCAACTTTGTTAATCCACTAACGATTAGGACCCTTAAAAGTAAGCAGAAGCGCGCAGGATGTAAGCAGAAGCTTTTGTTAGCAGAGATGCATAGTTAAGCAAGAGGTAAAAGTGGAGCAAGTGAATTTAATGCCGCTTAGATTCGGTAGTTTAACAAGACAGGGCACCGTCTCGAGTCGAGTCGGCTATATACGTCACTCAATTCAAAGCTTTCGAACGTGACTGGAGTATTTTGCCGCGTAGTTTTTAATAGGCGGTTCACGTAATTTATAGGCCGCGCGAGAACCTATTGGGAGAACTTCCGAATTGGGTTACTCTCGCAAATTCGTGCCAATAGAAAATTACCACTGCGACGTTGAAATAGATATCGCGTCGCGCTGCGATGAACTTTTAGAGCAATCAAATGCAGCCGCGCTCTGTCTCTTTCTCCCTCTCTATTTTCCTACGTTTAATTGCCTGCTTCACGTAATAATTCCACGCAAAAACGTAAGCTCACAGTTAGGACACCTCGGTCTTTTCCTCATAATATATTTTACAAATAATAAAACAAATATATTAAAATATATTTTACAAAGTAATTTAAAGTCGCTAAGCAAGGCTTAAACCCGAAATTTAGCAACATCGTTCGAATTAAAATAAAGAAATTGGAAGTGTGCGAATCATAAGTGGGAGACTTATAGTAGGCATAAACAGAAGAGAAGTGCTAAGAGAAGCTCTTTCTTTTTAACTTTTAGTCCGCCGGAGTTTGAAGTGTTCAAATCGTGAAGAATGTCACGTAAAGTTATATCATAGATGTATCATATACAAAGTTTCGATCACGACTCGCGCCTATATTTAGACTTTCCGGTGGTCTTAAAGGTTAAGGCTCCTGATCTCTTGCCGTAGAACTCTTGATTGGTGACATTAGCGACGAAACGAGAAAATGCATATCCAAAATTCCTGTAAAATACGTTGAAATAAAAAGATATATCCAGAATACGACACTTGCGATCGATTAAGCATACCTCGAAAATACTTCAAAAACTTTTGTTCTAACAATCAATAAGTAACCGTAAAATTAACGTGACATGCAACATTCTTCTTTAAGCTACTCCTTCTCATGATTTATTTTTACGGTTATTTATTGACTGAGAGTTTTTTACTTAGAGTAAAAGGGAAGTGTTCGAAACATTTCAGAAGTATGCTTAATCGATTGCAAATGTCATTTTTTAAATATCATTTTATTACGATATACTTTGCAGAAATTTTGAGCATGTATTTCTTCACATCTGACGTCATCCATCAAGATAGTCGCGGCAGGTACCCAGGAGACTAAAGTCAATTTAATTTATTTAAGTAAATTTAAGTAAATTTAATTTGTAAGTATTAAAAGTTTTAAGTTTGGTTTCTCGCCTTTATTGTGACTTCATATACTCTACCTTATTTTAGTCTTATTAGCTTCAGAATTATTCCCTCATTTAATCCCTCGGCATCCTACACCCTATCTTATACTAGAAATCATCACGTCGTATCAGCGAACTCCGTCTTGACGTCAGCAGGCTAATAACTACGTGACGTCTACGTTTCCTACGTCACATTAATCTACTTCATTGTCCGCAATATTAACGCGAGTTGCGTGCCGGCTCAACTCGCGTACACGAAAATTTGACCGTGTGTAATTTTAGACGAACCCATATATTACTTTACGCAAATCCTTCCAGGCTATTGTCCAAGCAGAGAGCCTCGACGAGAACTTCACTCTGGGTCTGGCCGTGCTACTGGCCGGGGATTTCGCGATGTTACCCCTGGACACGAAATTGAATAAGGTCGCGCCACCGGGATGGCTGAGCAGCGGCAAGAGTAAAAGTCTTTTGGGTTTACCGACCAGTTTCATGCTATACCTGCGACTTCGATTCTTCCTGCCTTCCTTACGCGGCATCAGGTTCGTCGAGAACCCGACAACAACACAATAACAGCAGCGGTACACGTCACACTCGATTACAACTAACTATTCGTGTCGTTTTCAGGAGCTGGATATCGAAGCATCTATTGTATCTACAAATAAGACGGTGCATACTGGAGCAGCAGCTGGTATGCCCCTACCCCGAATTGATCAATCTAACGGGCCTCGCTCTTCAAGCCGAATTCGGGAATTACAATGTTGACGTAAGTTTACGACAATCTCCTTCTCCGAAATTGCGAAATCGCGATACGATAAAACTCTCGGAGACAGCTCGTCGCAAGAAGCTCAATGTCCAGGTTTACGCGATACGAGAGAAACTGTGATATCGCGGCGGAAATATTTAGGATTCTCTGCGAGATTTCTACGTCCTCGTAACATGGAATGCGATTAACTTCTACATGACAACGCAGAGGTCTGTGAAATTCTCGTGAATCTGTGAATTAATTTGGAATTGGAGCAAAAGACACTAGATTAGACTAAAAGCGAGCGTATTAGTAATGCAGCATTACTGCCTCCTAATAGGAGTACCTTTAACCTTCGCGGAAATCGACTTTTCGCTCACGCAAAGGGGCGCAGCGATATAATTTCCAAACTATAAATCAGCTGTTAAACTACTAAGCTAAGCTATTAGTTTAGTTGAGATGCGCCAGCCCTTGGGAGTTTTAGTAGACGATATCGGGGAAAGCTGTTGTACGTGCGGACGAAGACAAGGTGACGATAATTCCGGCATGAGCCGCGCGCATCATCGATGTAATATCGCGTGTTTCAGGAGCACGGATGCGGGGATTACTTCCTACTCGAGCACTACGTGCCAGAATCCTTGATAATGAATGCGGATCGGCATCAATCGCAGCCGTGCGTCGAGGCGAATGCCCTACGGGCGCAGCTACATCGCGCTCACCACGACCGACGCGGCTTGGACTCCAACAAAGCCGAGGAGATGTTCATAACTCACGCGCAGTCTCTGCCGGATTACGGCTCGCACTACTACATCGCCACGGTGGACTCCAAGGAGCTGGAGAAGCTGATGGCGCAGCAGAGGAAGAGCAAGACCAACATCGACAAACGAGCCGGCAACGCGGCATTGTCGCAGGACAGCACGAAGGACGCTTATCGCTCGGAGAAAACGTCCGTCCCGAGGGAAAGTAGGATAGGAATCGCGCGATTAGGCCCTCGTGAGAACGCTCCGATGATCCCCTATACAGAAACTGGCGATATTTACGCCGGGCAGAAGTGCAAGTTGCACCGCGACGAGATGTGCAATAAGCACAACCATGTGATTAACAACAACAACAACAACAATGTAAATGGCAACAACAACAAGAACAGTAAGACTGGGAAGAGGAAGACGGAGAGTAACGTGTGGCTGGCGATACACGCTCAAGGGTTGAAGCTACTGGAGAGAGGGGGTGAGCCGAGAGAGAGAACGGAACTGGCCCACTTTCCGTGGCGGGACGTGCAGACGCTGAGTTACAGCAAAAGCTGCCTGGTGGTGTACAGCAAACTGAACGGGAAGCGGTGCAAGTTCAAGCTACGGATGGATCATCGAAAGTAAGTTTGGCCCGGTCACGTTTGGAGGATCGATCGCGAAGCGGCTGAGCGAGAGAAATGGTATCGCGAGTGCATTGTATGCACCGTTCGCCCACCTACGACCTACTCAACGACCTACATAAACTATCTTTCTATTTTGCAGAAGTTACTTCGCTTTTAAGCTCACCTCCCTGCACCATCAGTTCTTCCTCAGACTTCGCTCGGAGCTTACGTCGCTTCAGGGCCTCGCGAAAGGTGGGTACTGCGCGTCTTTCTCCTTGCCGATTAAGTTTGCTTGTAACACTCGCAAAATGCACTTCCGCGAAATTTCCTTCGTAGTGAGTTAAATTGCGATACGAAACTTTGTCTCCGGAGGCGGCCCTGTGGCCTTCTCCTTTTCCGCCATAACCCTCTTGGGAGAGTCAATATGGTGGACGTATAAACGTGCGGGAAGGAACATTTAATGACGTCATTTTTCTTTTAGATTTTGGAGTGCCCCTGATTACGGAAAGCAAGACTACACCGTCGAAGTCCAAGATCGGCGAGGGCAAGACTAAAATCACGATTGCGAACACGGTCATGGTGCAGCAAAGAATGAACTATCCGATGCAATTAGAGGAGTATCAAAATAAGGAGAACGAGAATCCTCAGAAGGACGCCAATGCACCTGCTGCGAAAGACGTCGGTCGTGAGCCCGGCTTTTACTCGCCCGAAGAAGACGTGCTTTACGCGCAGGTGAACGTGCGATTGGAACCGGAGGGCGAGTCGCGAGACACCGAAGAAGAATCGGATAGGGGTCTGACTACACCGGAAATCTTGTTGGACTCTAAAGAAACCAAATCGGAACATGGTAAATTGTACGGATGTACAGTGTTAGACAGTGAGGCTGAAACCGAATGTACGTATTCACTTCCAAAAGCCATCTCGAACAACATTAACCAGCTGGATAAACCTAACAATCCTGAGGAACTGTATGCCGCCATTAATAAGGTTCGTCTGTCGGGAAAAAACGAGTTTTCTGCTCCGGAAGAAGTTTGGAAAGCGTCGGATGTGAAGAAGACACTACATAAGGTTCGATCGGGTTAATCGTCCGTTATTGTCTCATCGCACCAAATTTGACGTTTCAAACTCTCAGTTTTGGGTCACTTGCAAAACGTTGACTCAGTCAAAACATTCGGTTCGATTTTGTAGTCAAATTCGATTTTGTTGTACTCTGTTGCTTAAAATGATGCATGCAAAACGATAAGATTAAGATAGTCTGAACCATAGCTTTAAGTCTCAATAGTTCAGTCTGAATTCAATGTAAATCAATCATCATCTCATTGATTCACATTGATTTCGATGGAAATTCAGGTTAAATTTTATATGACGTTAACGTTTTGTAACCATCATCATAAACAAGATCGATAGAAACGAATTATTCAAATAACTGCCATCGTTGTATACGATTCTTCACCAACATTTTGATGGCAGGATATTATCAACGTTATTGTTTGTGTTACAGTATATGACAAGATTTATTGAAAATCAAACTGAACTCTTTTGCTGATCTAATATTCGTCGCGCCTCTCTATTCAACGAGCTTGTGTTACCATTCTAGATGAAGACATCCAGTTTACCGAACTACGGCACGCCGAGGCAGTCGGGTGGTTTTCGCACACCCAGTTTACCACGTCGATTGGGTGTGAAAATGGGAACACGCGCGATCTACAGCAGTTTGGCGCAAAAAGACACCGCGCTTACCGACGACATGGAATCACTATCTGTGAAGTCCGATACGGAATCGTCCATTCAATCGCTATCAGCACGATCCGTAGAATCACCCATGCCAGAAGCATACGTGTTGAGTAAGCAATAAGCATCCTGATATAAATTTATTATGAGCTACGAGCAGGACATCGGCAAATAACAATCTTTTCACAAAAGTTCTTGCAAACTTTAGAACCGATATTAATACACTGTAAAAACTGGTGGGTTAAATTTAACACATTTAATTTGTCCCAAATCATCCACTCTCATTTATGTGTAAATTTAACACAAAACAAATGTATTAAAAAGTAATACACATAGTATGGAAAAAATTAACACAAGGATTTAACACTTGAATACCGTTAAGAATCACAGATTGTGTTAAATTGATATATGTATAATGTCAAATTAACTAAAATAAAACGTTACTTTAATATTTGAGAGAAATATTAATCTATGGTTTTGATGAAATGAAAATGTTAAATTGACATAATCTATGTTTGACATATTAAATATGTCAATTTAACACAAACTGTGATTTCTGACGGTATTCAAGTGTTAAATTCTGTGTTAATTTTTTACATATTATGCGTTTTACTTTTTACCACATTTGTTTTGTGTTAAATTTACACATAAATGAGAGTGGATGATTTGGAACACATGAAATGCTAAATTTAACACATCAGTTTTTACAGTGTAGTTATAACTTGAAATCGTCTCAAGTGATACTTAGATTTCAATTCAGACTTCAAAGATGAGTTCTTTCATTTAAATTACGATTAGAGATATAAATATCATGTATGTTATAATTCAACTGGAAAACTTGATCTAACTCGGAATAAGAATCTCAGTATCTCACATGAGACAAGTTTCAAGTAACAACTATTAATACGGGCCCAAGATGTTTAAATGAACATCTATTTCTAACTCAACTCAGAGTCGATTTTTCGATTTCGAATAGTAGTTAAAGCTTAAATCTTACATTAAACTCTGTTTAAATATATTAAACACATTATCAGAACAGAGTTTACACTTAAATCCAATTAAACTATTATTGAAAAATCGGTCTTTGGCATTCAATGGTAGCCATACCGTTTCCTTTGAACACTTGTTAGTTATTTCTTATAAATTCTACAGGTTTCTATTTGATATATGACATCTTTGATTGATCTTTGAAGAAATGTATATAAATATATTTTTACTTTAAAAAAGTATATATAAATACACTTGTGATTATATTTATTACAAATTATCGTGAAATAATAAATTTATACTTATTACAAAACATTATCGAGGAAGAGTGAAATTTGGTTTAAATCTACTCGTTCTTCTTTAACAGATGCCGATATACGAACCGATGACGAAACATTCCGAGTTCCTGAAGACGAATCAATGTCCGCGTCTCTAATGGCTCGCTTAGAGGAGCTGTCATTCGCCGAAGAACGCATTTTGCACACGATTAATTTGGAACGAGGCCACGGTGGCAGCATAGGGTTGCAAGTAACGGAAGGTAACGACGGTGGAGTTTACGTGCAAGCAGTCTCTGTCGGCGGATCGGCCGATATGGCCGGGAACGTTAATAAAGGTTCGCATATGAAATCTTTACGCTATCTAAGAATGAGATATCACGATTCTTTTTCAAAGAAATTAATAGTGATAAAAATAAATGGATAAAAATAACGCGTGATAAGCACACAAGAAGATAGCTAAAGTGATAAAATAATGCAGAATTGGCAAAAGTAGAAACATTATGGACAAATGAAAATTAATGTGACCTTTTCAACTGATTTTCCCGATAGGTGACCGAATTGTAGCGATAAACAAACAGAATCTGCTAAATCTCCGCTACGAAGATGCTCTGAAGATGCTACAGAGCTCCTCCGAAACGATCGAGTTGGTCCTCTCGAAAGCAGTTACCCGGAAGAACGCGGAATCGAGGGATGAACAGGATCAAGCTCCTGCAGACAACAGTTACTTACAGTGAGTATTGCCAGCGTACCTCGAAAGTGATCGATTGGGAAATTTATCGCGTCAAAGTGTACGCTGTTCCGCAGATCAAATTTATCCATCAACATTGTTCGATTTTAAATAAATTAAGAATTTGGAGAGGCAATATATATATATATATATATATATATATATATATATATATATTTGTCTAGTTAATTATGCATGCCGAATAATTAATCAACTCTGTAAACCGATTTACGTGACGCCGTTGAGTAAGAAAAAGTCATTACGATAAGATATTCGCGAAATTAAGTTTGACAGTGTAACCACCTCACGTAAGATTCAAAAAGTCTGTTGTTTTACACTAAACACTTAATAGTCAATTCTTTGTCAAGAAATAATCATAATAATAAGTATTATACGGTTTCTTATATTTTACACATTTGTCAAATATCCAAGTATGTATTTATCCAGATATGTTGTAATAGACATTAGAGTCACTAGACATTAAGTTATCGCCTTTAAAAGAAGTTTTGTCCTATAAAGGATTAACGTATAACTTTTAATTACAGTGACATCAGATTCGACGTGTCGTCAGAGGCGGAGACATCCAGCGTGACGAACAAATGGATCGTTCAGAAAACCACGGACGTAGCGTCGGTGCAGAACACCTCGAGCGCATATAGCAGCGCCGCGTCTAGCGCCATGGGTAACCATAATGCGAACAGCCTGTACATGACTGATCTCGTTGACAATAATACGGTAAAATCTGCCAGTATGCTGCTAAGCCTCGAAGACTTCGACGTCAGTAGAACGAGTCGCCAGGTTTTCATTTAGGTACGTCGAACGATACGTCGGTGTAATGCAAAATTGCTTCTCATATACCGGAATATACGTTGGCGTAATTTCGTTGACGCAAAATTCCCGGTCGGGCTATTACGTTTCGTCGACCGTGTATGCCACGGAACGTCGAGAGAGAGAGAGAGAGAGAGAGAGAGAGAGAGAGAGAGATTCTATTTGCGAAAAGACTATTAGGCTGTACGCAGCCATGCCGAACAGGCACGGCAACGTTCGCCTCAGATAATCGAATTGTTTCAATCCGTTTAGCGAAGCCCTGCACTCGCAGTTGCTAAAGTACGCCGTTCGCCAGTCTTAACATTTACCTGTTTAGCGGAAAATAACCAGCAGTTCATCATATCTCACGAAATAAAAAGGGCACTTTCTGTTTTATTCGAAGGAAAAATATTCAAACAATTTCGTCGAATAAAACGAGTGTTCGTCCAATCTACTTCCTATCGGATTAATATTTTAACTGAATATAACATCTCGTCGATCTCTCGCACATTACGAAAGCGCATGTGCAATAAAATTTTCCCAAGCTCAATATTTCGCCTGAAGTTGTCCTTTTTAGAGTTTTAGTTTAGATAGGAGAAGCTTTTTTTTAATTTTTTCAAAAAATGAATAAAGATATCGATACAAGGTTTACAGCATACTATTCAACACTATATTAAGTATAAAAAAATTAATTTTTATTAAAAACATTTTAAAGTTTTATCGTCCAGGTTTTTCGTGATAAGCGCGGACGCTTCAATTGGTGGATAACGTTACAGGCTATGTAATAAGCTCAAGCAAATAGAATAAGAAATTTTAAAAACTGTGTTACATTTTCTGGAGGATGAAATCCTATGGAAAATTTCTAAAATTAATATTTCTCTCGAGGAAAAAATAAAAAATTAAATAAAGAAAAAAGAAAAAGGAAAAATTATTTATAACTTCGAAGTCATTTTGTAAAAATTCGAATTGCTGCATATAACAAAAAGTCATCTTCCAGCAAAAATTTAACAAAGTTTTTAAATTTCATAATCCTATTTTACTTCAAATTACTCTAAGAACATTACACGAGCTGTAATGTTATCCACCAATTAGAGGCGACTCCGACGATTCCGCGTTGAGTACAAAAAAACTTGGATGATGAAATTCTAATTTTTTTAAATAAAAAAATATTTTTTTGTACCTAAGACAAGTAGCATGGTCAAAACCCTATACTGATATCTTCGTGGATTTCTCTGAAAAAATTCGTAAAAATTTTCTATTATTCGACTAACCAGAGAAGAACTCCCCTTAATGACATTATATTCAGCGTGGAATTAAAGTTCGGTAATGGCATATAAGTATAACTATTGACCCCGTGCAGCGCAGAAAGGGGAGGCTTGCCGAGTCATTTCTAAGGAATCACCTTCAGTACGTCCCGGACGGCCTAGCATCGTAGTTGCTCTCTCGCGTGCGTGTCCCGAACTTCAATATAATTCGCTCGTTAATCATATTAACATCGTCGTTGACGCAACATGCACAACTGTAAGAACCAAAGTAACAGTAGCCATTAAATTCCCTGAAATTTACGGAAGAAAACCACTTCATCTCCTATTTCAGCGAGACTAATTAATTTCTCTTCTAAAGTCCCGAATTTTCCTCTCTGTCTCTCTCCAGATAATGGAAGCTCGACTGAACCACCCGTGCCACCGCGGCGTACGAAGCGCAAGATCCAAACTGCACCGATCGCAATGTCGATACCGAACAGTGCACCTGTGAGGGAAACCACGAGCGACACGAGACCTCAGCAAAAACGTCCGCCGTCTCTGCCGCCCCCGCCGGAGAAATGTCGGCGGAACAAATCTCGACCCACTGAAACCTGCCAGCCGCAATGCGACACTGCGAGCTGTCCGACGGCCGAAAGTGTCGCGAGTGAATACCACCAGCGCGACAGCCACATCGACATCGTGGCTGGCGTGATCGAGGCGAAGTCCCCGAGATCGCGCGACACGATATCCACGAGGGAGAAATCGACGGGCGACGCAAACGATGACCCAATTCCGGGATCAACCGCGACGTCGAGAGTGCCATTCCTATCCGTCGACGTCGCGTCTACGCGAAAGCCACTCGACAAATACCCACCGCTCTTTTTCACGACGCGCGATTTCCAGGACGTGATGCCCGCCACGTGGAAGAGAGAAAACACCGCCGACGCGCCTTCCAACGCGGCTCCCGACGAGTCGCCGGATCCGCGCGAGCAGGTGTCCTCGGCGACGTTTACGCTGGATGACGGCGACGACAATGACGACGAGGACGTCTGTTTTCGCGTGACAACGACAAATCTGCCGTTCGAAAGGTGCCTCGAACGATGGAAGAGCCCTTTCGACGACGAGTTCGCTATGAGATTCGAGGACTATCGTTTCGAAGGCAATACAGACGGAAACGCTCGGATAAACGATAGAAGACCGCTTGCTCATGACATTTCCGATAGCAATGAGGATTCGGACTGTCGGCTCGGCGCGAAAGTACGATTCGTGATCGAACCGCCGAGCTCTGCCATTCTCGAGTTCGACACGGACGTGAAGAGCGCTGTACAATGCGGAAGTTCGCGAAACTGTAAGCCCATCTTCGAGGAAGAGCCTGACAATCGAAAATGTAGCGTCACTTCTTCCCTTGAGCTCGCTGAAACCCGAGACGAACGCGTGGATGGGACAGATCGCGAGAATAATCCACAAGGAAAACCATGCAGCCCGAGTACCGACGAAAGTAATGTCGCTGTGAGAGAAAATAGTCCTCCTACACCGGCGGACGCAAGGAAAACGGTCGAGTTAAGCCCGCGTTGCGACGATGAGTATAACAACGTTAATCGCGAAGAAATTCACAAAGAGGACTTTAATTCGATATCGTGGAACAAACGAGTTAGCAGAGAGAACTACAGAGTCGGAGAGGAAAAAATAATGCCTCCGGAAACGGCCATTATGAGAGAGGGAAATGCTGAAAAGCAAGCGGATCAAATGCTGGACGCTTCTTCTAAGATTACAGGGAACACTTATCGTGCGACGGCGAAGAGCTCGGCAACGGCCCGCGGGACTGAAGAAACGAAAATAACGTTAAAGAAAGCAGAACGAAAAGAAGAAGTACCGTTAACAAAAGCAAACGATGACATCAGAGAGAAGCCCATTGCCAAGAACGAGAAGCTCCTCATTGATGAGTCACCTCGGAATGTTTTAAACCGCCTCGACGGCAATAACAGATATCTAGATGACTCCTGCGACGGGAGAATCTTCGTCGACGATCTCGCGAGAAGAGGATCACTCGGAAGCGAGAAGACTCGGCGATCACCCATTGACGAGAATAAAGAAACCAGCGGCTGCTGGAATCCCGAAAATAATCGCGAGCAAATCTCGCCGTCGGATGGGATCTTTGCAGAGAGCGTTTCCGTCAAAGTCAGACGAAATTCCTTCCTAGAGACTATGTTGACTGACTATTCGACAGATCACGCGATCATCGACTCTATGATACCGTCTTCAAGCACGGATGAAGAAGTAAGCGTCCCGCATGAACTGCGAAATAAAACACGGGAATGGAGCATAGAGATCGCAAGAGGCAGCGCACGCTCGCGGGGATCGAATGGCGTGACGAAAGTGGATGTAGAGAATCCAGACATTTCAAAGAATTCGAAAAAGACGAAAGGGAAGACCGCTGTGGTCTCAGTCGGCGACGTAAAGCTAACGCAATCGGAGAATAAGAGCGCCGGCGAAGCGAAGAACGACGTATTGAACGAGTTGTTATGCAACTTCAACAGCATCAAATTGAAAACAGTGAGCCCGGAGACGAAGGGGACCGCAAAAACGCAAACAGGCGACGACGAAAGTCTCGCTCTTCCTGTCGCAATCGACAGAATTGCTGACGGGAGGTTGGATGCGGGTTTCCAAACGCGAGTGCGGGAAAGATCCTGGGACGAAGCTCGTGGCGTTCTCAGCGCAAGGACGATCTCCACCGAAGCGGATGGCAAAGCAACGATCGCCGGGGAAGTCGCGAAAGAAGAAGTTTCCGCAGATACGCAGATCAAAGGTCCGTCTCGGGATCTCAAAGGTGACACTCGTGATCCCAAAGGTGACACTCGTGATCCAGCGTTTGGCGAGGAGATCGCGAGATGTAACACTACCGAGACGACGAGATTGGAGGTGGCGTCCCGCGGCGTAGAAATCGCGAGGGATACCTGCACGAAGACGAAGCTCGACAAGGAGTCTCCGGGTGTCAAGTCGAACGAGATCCGCGCGAAAGCGAGTACCGGTGACACATCTGAAGGCGCAGAAGGCGCCAACTGGGAAGTCAGATCGAGAAGATCGCGAGACGTTTGCGCTCCCAAGACGATACTTAAGAAACCAAACGCCGAGTGCGAGCGGCGGGCGAGCGAGTTTCAGAAGAGAATTCCCATCGGGGCGCCCACGACGATGAACAAGATTTTCGACAGCAGAGAACTCGAGGCGATAACGTACACGTCGCGTGGGAGTAGCCTGGAGGGCGGCGAGGTGCGCGGAGGAGCGACTTCGAGGGTAACTCATGGTCGCGGCGACGAGAAGAAGACTGACGAAGAAGTAATCGCGGACGACGTGGCCGACGTCGAACGAAGGCTTGCGAGTCGGCCGGCATTAGCGTTAGAGAATAGTGGCGATAAGTGTGCCATAGCTAGGAAGATCACTACTTCCGCAACCCCTTGTAATAATAATGACAATAACAGGGCCGTAACACCCGTAGCCGTAAGTAACGACCAATCGCCCCGCGACGTTGTAACAATAACCCCGGGGAAAGTTAGGAGCTTCGTTAAGTACTACGAGATTCGGGGCGACGCGACCACCGAGATACATTCGAAAATCAACGGTAGCGAGAGAGTAGCTAGACGCAAGTCCACGAGGAGTCCACCAGAGACAGCGCCGACCGTCGCCGCGAGGAGCTCGCAGCGACCGGAAGTGACGACAGCACGAAAAGAGACGGGGGAAGGCGAAAGCCTCCTTAGGTCGCACGGTGAGGTCGACCTTTTGACCTTTGTCACTTCAAGAGTCCCGGTAGACCTTCACAGCTTATTGGCAGACGGTGAAACGACGCGAACAGAATCGATGGTGACGAAGGAGCGCGAGAGGAACGACGTATCCGACAGGGAGACACGTGCGCAACACACCAGAGCTAGCGTGAAAAAGTCGGTACAGTTCCTAGGCGGGTTTACCGTGATCCACTCGAGAAGTTTCGACGAGTCCGCGGGGACCGCCGCAGACTACCACGCGAGCTCATCGAGAAAGAGGAGAGCACCCGGAAGACCGCCGTCGCGGGATTCCGACGTTCGCCAGGGGCTTGTTCGTGAAATCGCAAAGTCGGACAAATTGCCGGATACTGAGGAGAGTTCCTTCCAGCGACGGGAGGTCGCTGCTCAGGTCGGTGGAGGGAAATTCTAATTATCTAACAATCTTTAAGCGGAAGTTAATTTAATTACGATGACGCGATCGTTATATGGCTTGTGACGTACTTGCCAGTCTCTTTGGCGGCGTGTCCCGTGATTGTATGTATGTTTCACGCGGATTTCCGAGTGATCATCATTTTAATTCACTACCATCCTTAATTGATGATTAATTGATGAACCAATTTAGTTGAGAACTATTTAATTGACAACTGATTCCACCAAATACCATCCGATTAACGACTGATTTCAACGAATTCGATTAAAGACCATTCAATTAATGATTGATATGTGCGAAGGGAATTAAAGATCACTCAATTATAACGATTAAATTTTTAAATTTCAATTAATAATTAATTAAAAATTTAATTGTTAATTTAACTGCCTCATATAATTATAATAATTAATAAATAAACTTTAGTAAATTTAATTAAAGGCCATTTAATCGCGATTGATATCAGCAAATTCAATAAGCTCTTAATTGAATTTGCTAAATTTAGTTATTAATTAAAGGACACTTGATTTGTTCATATGAATTGTTAATTGAACAGTCTTTAATTGAATTTGTAGAAATTAATCGTCAATGAAAAAATCTTCGATTAATTTTAATCGAATCAATCGTCAATTTACTGAATTGAAGTACATTTGTTCAAATCAATTATTAAATTGAGAAAAATTTAAGTGATATTTTTACAACCCTGGTTTCACGTTTGAAGGCAATTTTTTTTTAGGCAAAAAAAATAATATTTAGGAATTTGTTTCAAAAAACTGCTAAATAAACATGTATGAACTTTATATATGTAGATAACTAATATATTTATATTGGTGCAAAAAAATTTATTTTTATATTTTGTGCGTAAATAATGTCACAACATTCATCTTCGGGCCTGAGCCTGAAGCCTTCAAAAAAAAAAAAAAAAAAAAAAAAAAAAAAAAAAAAAAAAAAAAAAAAAAAAAAAAAAAAAAAAAAAAAAAAAAAAAAAAAAAAAAAAAAAAAAAAAAAAAAAAAAAAAAAAAAAAAAAAAAAAAAAAAAAAAAAAAAAAAAAAAAAAAAAAAAAAAAAAAAAAAAAAAAAAAAAAAAAAAAAAAAAAAAAAAAAAAAAAAAAAAAAAAAAAAAAAAAAAAAAAAAAAAAAAAAAAAAAAAAAAAAAAAAAAAAAAAAAAAAAAAAAAAAAAAAAAAAAAAAAAAAAAAAAAAAAAAAAAAAAAAAAAAAAAAAAAAAAAAAAAAAAAAAAAAAAAAAAAAAAAAAAAAAAAAAAAAAAAAAAAAAAAAAAAAAAAAAAAAAAAAAAAAAAAAAAAAAAAAAAAAAAAAAAAAAAAAAAAAAAAAAAAAAAAAAAAAAAAAAAAAAAAAAAAAAAAAAAAAAAAAAAAAAAAAAAAAAAAAAAAAAAAAAAAAAAAAAAAAAAAAAAAAAAAAAAAAAAAAAAAAAAAAAAAAAAAAAAAAAAAAAAAAAAAAAAAAAAAAAAAATGAAAAATAATGTAGTTAAAGTCTCGCGCGAGCCAGCAATTGTATTTTTTGGCTCACTAACGAAGGAATTTAATTTTTTGTAAAAATTTTCTTCTATTTTATTTTATTAAAAAAAAGAGGAAAATAAAAATTTTGGCCCAAAAGACTACGTCTGTAACACTATTTTATAAGAAACTCTTTCGTTTTGTTGATTGAACTATTGCACAAACGTAAATCACGCAGACCATGAAGCTGCAGGCAATAGATATTGCGCATTTCCGAACAAAAATAATATTCTAAATTATTTTTACCAATACCAATGTATTATTTAATTACATACATAAAATTCAAACATATTAACTTGGTAATAGTTTTTTTTTTTTTAATAAATTCCTGCTCGCTCTGTTTGACATGAAAAAATAATTTACTCCCTTTAAACAGTTATTCAGAAGCTCATTATATACAAAACTTGCACCGTGCTTTCTAAAGAATCTTTTTGAATATAGGCAAAAATTCAATTGAAATAAAAAATCTACCTAAAATTGAGAAACAAATCTTTGCGTTGCCAGTTTGCAAAGCGAACGTAATAGCTTGATTTTTTTTTTTTAGGTACATGCAGTAGCCGGTCACGAGGAGAATTCAGGTATTAATCGCTTCGTTACAAAACCAGAGACCCCACAGCTCGTATTTTATTGTACTGTATAATATGTAGTCTTTATAAGCCGTCGTTGCTCCGAGTCTCGGTAAATGTTGTGTCGATACGAGTCCCTATGAATGTGTCTTTGATTTTCGCCACCAACCGAAGAATAGATTTTACGATGCTACTACGTAAAGGTCGCTAAATAATTTACGCTAATAATTAACGCCCGTTACATATTATTCTTATCATTTTATCTATTATCTTTACGTATGTTTGAATTCAGGTTTACGTTGAAGACAAAGTCCAGCTTCTTATGTAAAATACTAATACGTGCCACTTTCCTTTATTTTCTACAATTTGCCACTAAACCTCTGGTCTTATAACCCGTAACGTCAACCCGGCTTCATGATTCTAGCAGGATATTTCGCACGATGAATAAATCGATAACGGGTAAAATTTTTCAAATTATGAATTCCGCTTTTATAATACACGCGCGGTCTGATATTCTAATTTTAAAAATAACTCTGGCTGAAATATAAAAATTTTAAATGAAATGATTTTCTAGAAAACTCAATTCCGCTTTGCTTTCGTACAAAATGATAAAGTCCCGATTTATCCGTCAAAATTATTCATTCGACTACGTTTCGATAAACCAGATACGCCACGCACGGGATTTAGTTCCAATAAGCCGGTCGCGCGCGCGTCTCGATAAAAGCGACGGGTGGATTTGCAATGACCAAATTTTCCGTGGTGTGGTGTCCGAAAGGATTCGAGGAACGCGGTGAATCGCTCGGCAAACAGATCGTTGGCTATGAGGTCGAGTACTTTAACTCGCAAGCGCGATCTAGATACTCCCGACCGTGAATAAATTCCGTCGATTTATGAAAAGACGATGGTTTATTTTCCGCCAGGCAATTGTCCGGCCTGTAACTCGTAAAATACTTCAATTCCCGACTCCCTCGGCACGTTACACTTCTTTTCTGTCGATTTGACTTTGCGCAGTGGAACGGAGTTATTTCCAGCACACGATGCACATGCAACTAGAATTCTCGCGCGTATATAAAATTACAATTGAGGGTAACGGTCCTAATTATGGGTCATTTAAGGTTAGAGCGACTTTCAATTATTTACATGAATTTCCCGATCGAATATCAAAACGTTGATGATGGCATCATAAGCAACCGACATAATAGTTTTAAAACAAAATTATTAGTTAAATTAGCTAAATTAGTTTATTCTAAATTATAAGAAAATAATTGGAAATATTTTTTCTTATGCGCGAGTCTCAATTATGGGTCAGCAGATATTACGCGCCAAATTACACGATGTTCAATTTTATATACTGTCTATATTGTTTTATTTTATATAAAATAATGGTAAAGCACAATCTGCTAGCAGTTTTATGAATCTAAAGAGTTGGCAAACTGATATCCTAGATTTTTATTCTAAAATATTAAAAAGGAATCTTACAATATAATCGTAGAAGTACTAAGGAATATTTAAAAAATTTGTTCCATGTGTTTTCATAATATTATTTTCATTGTATTCTTTTAATACATCAATAAACCGAGCTTGACTCGAGATTGGAACTGGAGCCCATAACCGGGACTGTTATCTTACACTTGCAGTTATGTCTGTGTGAAATTGAGCCGACACCATAAAGAGGCTGTTGAGAGTATCTTCGAGCGTCTCGTTTCGCGAGCGTTCGCGTCGCGCGAACACATTTGCATCGAATATTCATGGTACTTTTTTAACCGGGGTGACGTGGAAACCAGACGTCATCTTGCACGAGCGGTACGAGCGGTATCAAAGTTAGAATTGCGAGCACGCTACTTTTTAGAATCTCAAAGTTAAAAGCTACTGCTTGCGCGCGTGCAGAAAGGTCGTCGGCGAGCTAGAAAAATTCGCCTCGCGTAGTATCTATTCTTCCACTAGGCACTCCGTGTATCGTTAGTTTTGTGCTCTGTGAATACTTTAGACACGCATCTCCGAGAGCGACAACTTCCAGCTCTGTTATTGTCGAAATCTTCCTTGCGATTCCTTGGGTGAGAGGCTGTTTTTCGGTAGCATGATGAATGGAGGAAATTACTTGGTAAATTGCTCGCAGCTATAGGTGGGCGATTTGCAGGTAGGCAGGTTTGCGACGAGAGAAATGCACTTGTTGCGCCGTTTATGTTGCACGCACCTGTCTAGGTGTGCTCGTTTAGGATTACTTGGGCCGGCCCCGGGACCGGCTTCAGCTCTTGGGCCCTACCTGATTTAGTACCTTCGCAAATACGTAGCGCCGCAAAAGTACGTTTCGTTGGCAGACGTCGGCATTGTGCGACGGGTCGTATATTTTGTTTTTCTAGTAGTTCGTATGTTCTGTTCTTTTAGTGAGTAAATGAGTGAGTGAGTGAGTGTATGTGTGTGAGAGAGAAAGAGAGGCCTATGTATGTATTATAATTTCTATAGAACGAATGTCTCTCTCGAGAAGTAGCACGTTTAACAGCGAGATACATGAGAGCGCGTGATTAAACGCAATTGACAGAATGCTATCTCGTCTTATTGTGATCCGTTTGTTTCTCCGTGTTGGCGTGAATGCTTTACCGAATAAAAACGCATGTAATATCGTAATACCGTGGCGCAAAAGCGTTCGTAGCGGATGCGTGTAATCCTCTTTTACTGAGTTCCTGTCCGACGCAGCTTACGCAATAAGGGCACCGGGTGTCACAACGGAAGTACTTTTTACGATGATGGAGCGACACGTGATATAACCCCTCACCCCCTCCCCTCCCCCCGGAGAGAACGTGCAATTCCGCGATAAACGAGACGTAACGCGCCTGTAATTACGTAACGGTACGTTCTGTTGACTCATTGTAAGTATTATGATTTATCGGAGCGAGAGCGTATAATATACCATTGTGCGAGCCGAGAGCGACGCGAGTTTAGGCAGTTAGGTGCTGAAAATGCTTGTTACACGATTTAGTACTATTATACGCATATATATATGTATGTATACTTGCTACGCGTATTATTACCATATACAACTATATGTACACATCGTAAATGTAAGTATTATTGCGCGGTAACGATTTCTGTAAAATGCTATGCGAACAAACGCCCTCCTCCCCCTCCCCACCCCCTTCCCCCGTTGTGTGTAATGTGTGTGCGTACGTTTTATAACGTTACTCGTCACCAATAGATAGGTCTATGTCGAAGTGCAGATTTTGCGTAGATGTATCACGCGAGGGGATCCGATCGCGCGCGCACGTGGAGAAAGCGAGGCGGTAAATTTCCCGAACGAGACTTCTCCTTCTCACCGTCGTTCGTGCACACACACGCCATGATGTCATATAAACGATACAAATTAATTTTTGCTCAGAGAAATGTAATACCAATGCAAGAGAGCCGTGGATATTAGCGCGAACGATTAACCTCTAAAAAACGGAGGAAGTTTCTCTCGACAAAATATTCTCGAAATTTGCATACGAAATTTTTCGGGATCCCAAATCTATTGTTCTTTAACAAATTTCAGAATCAAGCAAACTACTTAATCGTTGCTAATCAAGCAACCTCGGTAGCCAATCAGCCAATTAGTCTTCCCTATATAAAAATAAAGTCATAATGCAGGTTTTTGAAGTCGTTGATCATGAATTAAAATTAAAAATTGCGGATTCAATGTGACGGTTCAAAATTAGTATTTTCGATATTCCGCTGATAATTTACGCTAAAATATGTATACTCGTGTTCTCGAAGTTGCTAATCACGAATCCACGGTCAGAATTACAAAATTGCCACATATCATCGATTTCAATCGTCATATTGGATCTGCCGTTTTGGATTTTGTAATTCTGATCTCAGATTCGTGATCAGCGACTCCGAAAATCTGTATGACTTCATTCTTGTGTGCAAAAATATAAAAATCGGCAATGTTGAGTCGGTCATTTGGAATTTGGAAATTCTGACCTCAGAATCGCAATTAGCAATTCTGAAAATCTTATATACAAGAATTTTTAATCCAATTTGATTGATACAAAAACATTTTGGTTTACAAAAACCAAAATGATGGTACCGCCCGTTCTTTAGGGGTTAAATTGTGGGAGGATAATATTGTCCGACAGTGTAAACGTATGTTTAAATAGGAAATGCGCAATTGGGGTTTTCAAGGAAGAATTAATTAAAAAATAATTGGAATTCTTCTTTTCGAGATTGATTTAATGTGGAAAGTTCATCACGTGCGCGCGTTTACACTGTGTGAAACAATATTACCGTCATAATTTAATCAATCGCACTATCATCCAGCGCATAGTTCCTATTGGCTTTATATTTCTCTTAATGTCATTACACACAAAGCTTTTCGCATATAGCTTAGTATTAATTTTGATGCAACCATCGAAAATCTCTTCATAATTACTTTAGTTTACATCGACAACGCTCTCGAACGCCGAGGCGGTGCTAAGAGCCATATTATTTCCGATAATCGAATCCGATATAGCTTCACAATGAATCCTTTCCACCAGAAACGACAGATTAAGAGAGATTAAGATTTAAAAAATCCGCTGTGTACATTCCCAGACGTGTCGGACGAAAGAAATTAGGAGATTCTCGTTCAGTAATAACACGAAAAAGAGAGAGAAAATAAAATGCGATCGTATTGAAAAGCAAATAATGTAGAACAATTTTATCGCTCTTTTTCCCCCCTCAATGCGTTTTTTCAGGCAAAGGACATTTAATGCTATTTTATAATATTTAGGAGATGATTTATAAGTGACTGAGCCGCGTCAGTCGTGCCGAGCTTCACGCTTGGCTCTACGCGGCAATGCAATTTGTTGTCGCGCTATGCAATTTTACGTTCATTCGGACAAATATAACTCCCGACAGTACACTGTACGTTTATATTTCCTCTAAATGCCGAATAAATTATTATTTTTTATGCTGTATAACAGTTTCTCTCTTTCATTCGTCCGGCCCTTTCGTAGAGCTGCCATCGTTCGCTATATCAACAGAAATGTATTCTGCAATCTCCATTATCTTTCCAAACTGTAATATTTATGTTTGTTTTGTGCCATTAAAAGTGTGCATACTTTTGACTAAATGTGTCCCCATCGAATAAAATATATGCTAAAGTCACAAGTGCGTGCATAATTAATAATTAATTATTAAAATACATTTTTTCGTGGAATCTGCACGGAGAAAACTGTTATGGTTGCTACAACTATTTCTTTCTATAAAAAAATACTTTCTGTTAAAAAAAATTATATGAATTCAAGTTAAATAAATATTGCGTTAAAAATTGCTCTTGTTTTATACTCATTTATACAGTTCTTACAACATAGTTCTTATGATACGTAATGTCCAATTAATATATTTTACACAAGGTGAGGCAATAACCCTGCCTACCTCAAATATCTCCGCTATATTCAAATAATAAAGAAAAATAGTGCCTACAGAAATGTTGTAGTTACGAAAAAGACGTTAATAGTAGACATAGTGACAATGATTTTTTGTGAGCGAAGATATATATGAGATTTCTTTCGAGACGACTTTAACTTTATTTTAAGTGGAATCAAAAAATAAATACATTTCAAAATATTTTTTATTACATTCTGATACTTTTCGCTGGTTTTTCTTATGTATTTAAACTTAGTATAGCTATTATTTCGCATAGGCGAAAAACCGGAGGAAATTGGCAAAATCGATTATTTCTAATATTTTCTAACAAGTTACGAAATTAAGCAAGCAAAATTTATAAACATGTTAAAGATAACTTTAAAACCCCTGCTTGCTTGATTCTGAAATCTGTCAAAGTACACCGGAAATAATCGATTTTGCTCCGGTAGTCCCAATCTTCCTTAATATTACTATTCCATTATGGCAACCATATTTAGTCAAGTGATATCCTTGGCGTTTTCTTCGTGTACATTCATTACATTTCGTCCAGAGACGTGCATTTCAACGCGACACAATCGCCGCACGGATGACTAAGAGAGACGACACTATTTGGCAATTGCGACATCTCTTTTGACTCATTTCTGTCGAGTTACGTAAGTGCGCGGTTAATCGACCAACGACACTCCATGAACTTTATCGCGGCGCAAATATAGAAAGACAGCAGCGCGAATTTCTACTCCGTTTCTCTAATAATAGCGATCGTCGATTTCTTCTCGGTAGCAAGATAAGGACACTCGTCTCACGCGCGGTCCGCAATTACGAACCGGATTTGGATGTGCGCGCGCGCGCGATCGGCATATCGATCGACACGTAGATCCCGCGAGAGCGTATATGGCGCACTTCCTTATCCGAATTTAGTGCGCGACGTGGCGTTACGCGAGAACTCTCTTCGATATCGGGGACACGTTGAGTAAAAATAAAGAGAGCCTGTAACGAGCGACGGCGGTGACGATGACGACGACGCACGTCCGCGGATCCAGTTCAACGCGGCCGACTCGGCTCGATCGCGTAAAACGACGCACCGGTTAATTTTTTATTCATGACACCTGACATCGCGCCGCTCGCGACACATTTTTCCATCGCCGGGATATTCCCCGACGGCCAACTCGCTTCACTGTCACGGAGGTACTCGGTTATGCGCTTCGGGGTGTATGTCGAGTTAAATATCCCCTGCCTTAAATGTAAAATGAAAACTTGTGGATCCTGGAGAGTATGCGTTTCCCAAAGAGTATATGCGAATCTAGGGAGATACTATGCTAATTCGCAACACTCCCGCTAGCTACTAAGATTCACCTGCTGCAACGATATTTGAGGAGATAAAAAGTGCAAAAGGAAAACAAGCCAATAAAAAAGAATTTTTAACAAGTGACTCTAATTAGAGTCTGTGTTTCTTATAAATTTTCACCAGAATGTCGTCAATGTTAGTCAAATTGTTTCATTATATCAGGTTTTAAAGTTATATTTAAATTTTATGTTGAGAAGTTAAAGAGAGAGAGAGAGAGAGAGAGAGCGCGATTTAATAGAAAAAAATGTTGTCAAGTGACTCTCTAATCAAAGTAAATGTTTTTTATAGATTTTCGCTCGCAGAAAACAATGACGCTGACAAAATTGCTCTGTCAGGTTTCAAAGTTATATCTAATTTTTGCTGAAAAATCCGCGCAATTTGAAGGAGAAGAATATATAATAAATTGCTAACCGTTAATGAAATAATAAAAATAAGTAAATGCTTCGATTTAACATATTGAAACTCTTTATTAGCAAAGGTTAAAAAAATCATTTTACAAATAGCAAAAAAGTTTGTTAAGCATATAGTCAGAAAAACAGTATTTGGTGAGATTAGTAAAAAAACAAATGGTCAGATTTCAGTGTTTGTCTCCCATTTTTTTCGCAATAAAATCCTCTTGAGATTTTTCTAAAAATCTATGGAAAAATCGCAATTCTAAAATAAATCAAATTTGTTAGAATAAAAGATGTTTCATTAAATTCTAATATAAGAGATTCCTAAATTTTTGCTTAACAAGTCACATTTAAATCTCATATATCGTGTAAATTGTGTAAATCAAAACATTCATCTGTTTTTATTATTTTATCGACAGTAATCGATTTATTATACACATTTTTCCTTTAAATCGCTGTTTTTCATTACAAAACTTAAATTAACTTTAAGATCTGACGTAATGCAGCAACTTGGACAACGATATTATTTTCCGTGAGCGAAAATCTATAAGAAACATCTATTCTAATTAGAATTATTTGGCAAAAATTCTTTTTATAATTATTAATTATAACACTTTTAAAAATCTTCACGGGAACACTGCGTGACTCTCATAGCGATTTCTGCTGACATTTGATTTTACAACATTTGCGGTCGTCTGCTTTCTGGTAATGCGTGCCTTGGCATTCGAAATCGATGCGCACGACGAAGGACACGAAGAATAGCCAAAACTATATTAGCTGCACGTCGCGCGCGACTCGCGTATGCACCTACGCGTGTGTGCGCCCGTCGAGTTTGCACACGATCGATCGTAAACAAATTTCTGGCGGGGCATTGATCCATCCTTGAAATGCATCGATCGCAGCTGCCGGTCGACGTCACGTACTTTGGTCGACGAGAGTATCACAGTGCACAACGTGCATGCACGATGCGCCGGAACCACGGCCACCTCTTTCATACAAAAATTCTGTCGACGAGCATGAAGCCGGTTCGAGCGACGTCAACTCACACGAGCAACGAAATTCTCTCACGTTCGCGTCATGGAAACTTCCGTACTGACAACCAACGATTCTTACCAATTATGGATCGATTGACCTTTCGATTTTTATGGAAAATAAAATTTATTTCCCATCAGTCAAAAAGCGTGGAGATAAAAGAAATGGCAACGATGTTGGGACACCCCGCAGACGTATTACTCATCATACCGTCACGATTATCAGAAATAGAATTCACGTCCTTAGATATATAGCTTCTAAAACCGTGGATTTAAAATTAGTCTTGCGCCTACGACTTTAAAAGCGCGTGTTTATAACTGTGCTCGCCGAATCGTGAAATCAAGCTAAATCCAAGAAACAAGAATTTATTTAACTTTATCTAAAAAAGTTAAAAAAAATAAACCATCTTCAAAAACCTCAAAAACGAGAAAGCGGCCCAGTTAACAACACTAGTGCAGAGTACGCGCATCTCGTCAAGTACCATCCCCTGAAGCACATGGATCAACGTTTTTTTATACCTTCGATAACTTTCTCAAAAATTTGAAAATAACTTTCAGAAATTGGCCTTATTTTCATTCTCTTCTTTCGTTTTGCATCTCCATGTTGTAGATATTCTTAGATTTTCAAGGAGGAGTGAATTACCCAATTTCCAGATCACCTAGATAAATTCAGGTAATCTAGATGATAATGTAGATAAAATACTGAATAAGTTGTTACGAGAAAAAAATATCCATCTCCATCTCAATATTTTTAACAATTCTCGAGCTATGAAAGAACACGCCAATATACATACAAAAGAACTATCTTTGTTTAAAATCGATTGATAAAAGAAGTGGCAACGATTTTGGGACACCCCGTGGACGTATTACTCATCGTAACGATTATCAAAAATAGTACTTAAACTCAAGTTCTTAAAAATATAGCTCCTACAAGCGTGAACTCAAAATAAGTCTTGCGCCTACTTGAAGACGTATTTACAGCCTTGCTCATCGAGCCGTGAAATCATCCTGAATCCAAAAGCAGAATTTGTCCCAACTTCACATCTAAGAACAAAAACAACTCATCTTCCCCACGAAATACATTTTCACCGTCAATTGGCAACAAGACGACATTTTCCTCATCTTCGCGGAGCGGTAAGGAAGGAAACGTTATGATTTCCGCGAGCCTATTAGTGCCGGTCGTAAGATTATCTCCGAGAGAAGAAGCGCACCTAAATCCGAGAAAACTTCGCCATCATTTTAATCTAATCAGGAGAATTACTCCTCTCCTCGGGAGGATTCTTCGCAAAGTTACGGCGTTTCTCATAACATTCCCTCCTCGATAATCTCCATCTAACTGTCCCATCGTGTTACCGCGCTCCATCTTCACGGTCCACTATTTCGCATAATGCAGATTGCATAACGGCTCGCACGATCGAGTGCCGTAGTCCCGATACGAGAAACCAACAGTACACGCCATTTCGTCTAGAATCGCCCACGCGGCGCGCGCGCGCGCGCGCGCACGCACGCACGCACCTGTGCACATTCGCGCGGGCAACGAAAACAACACACGCGGACGCGTTCGCCGATATTCGTGACACGTCCCACGTGCCGGAATTCCTGCACCCTACCCGATGGATCCCGCGGGATTTATTTTCGGATCGGTATGACGCCACTGCGCGCGTTTACAGTGGTAGTGCCGCGCGCCGCACAGCCACGGATTCGCTTGTCTCTCACACGATTCCTCAGTGAGACGCGCGGCTGGCTCCGACACGAGCCACGCAACGATTAATCGGCCATATTCGTCGATCCGGGAAACCATTTCGAACATACCGCGACGCGACAACCGCGACTCCGCGATCGAACGCGCGATTTCCAAGCGAGCGAGCGAGCGAACGAACGAATCCGCAAGCAAAACACGAAGAGTCACCTGCGCGCGTGACACGACCGAGAGGATCGAAGAAGAAATACTCCTCGCCTCCTCGAGTCTGCTGCACGAGAAAGTTCCGCGAAAAAGTGCGCGCATGTGTGTATTGGTAAGGTCAGAAAATTGGATCTGCGATTTCAACGGAGACTCGCAGTGTGTATGTGTGTGTCGGTGTGTGATAAACTGCTCTCCCAGGGGATCAGTAAAAATGTTTCGGGTTATATCAGTGAGAGTAGCATTTCACCGATAGTCAGTGAATATTCACTGATTTTCAGCGCAAACACTCATCACTTTATCACCGCCCTGTCTCATATCTCACTGATTTCCACCTGTGGAAGTGAGATTTCGCCGCAAAAATTCGCTACACGCTGCGACAAATTCAACTTTCTGTATCTGTGATGATAGAATTATCGGCTTGCATACAACTTGGGTGCAACGACACTGATCCGTGTTCGCAAATTGCACTAATAATAGCAACAGTCGCCGCTACCAACTGATTCTTTCAGCGAAGCTCCGATCGCAGTGCTATATTTTTCACTGAGAGAACCATCAGTTGTGTGAGTACAGTATTTCAAGGAAAGAATACATCGATTGCACCGTAGAGAACGACGTTTCCGTCCATCGTCACAGATCGTCTCGCGTCCGTTACCGTCTCGTTATTAAACGCACGTCAGTGTAAACGGCATGCACAGTGACACGTGACAAATAGCCGGGAGAAAATTTCGCCGAGGCTCGAACGGGAGTTACGCGCTCTCATTGCAGCCGCATGCATCAGCGAAACGTATTTCATAACGTCGCCCGTCGCCAGAGATACAGACGCGCGTAAATACTCCGCGGCGCACACGTGCGGTATCATTTCGTGAGCAGCCGCTTTTCTTGCAAATTACGAGCGGCGCGCTGGAACGGCGCGGAAGATGGATCTGCGACGAATCCGCCCGCGACGCGAGACGTGACGTGACGCGAAAGCGCGTCGTGTGCATCCTCTGTCCCTGCGAGGAAAGAGGGAAAGGAAGAAAGACCCCGTCGTCGTCGTCGTGGGGCTCTGGACGCAGTCGCCGCGAATTTTGACCGTCTGCCAAGTCCGCGAGGTCGCGTTACATAAGCGCGATGTAACGCGCGAACTTGGACCGAACAAGAACGCTTTTCACAGTCCCGCCGTCTCTTGCAATCGTGCTCGTCGCCGATCATATGACCGCGCGCGCGCGCGCGGCGATTCGAATGCCGCGACGCAAGAAGCTGCGTGTACTATACGCAGCTACGCTATTCATGGTCGCTCAGCAAACGGTACTGCTGCAGTTTTGAATCGCAGCTTATCGAGGGAGAACGGCCCAACGACGGCAGATCGCCGATCGCCTCTCGAACGACGGATGAGTGACCGCGCGACGCTGCTGTGACTTTGTGCGCGCGATTCGCGAGAGATTCAACAGCTTATCAATTTGTCTACATATATGTATTAAATCGCATTGTCAGAGTGCAAAAAAGTTTTCAAGGAGCAAGCAAGGAGAATACTACTCGGCTAAATATGGTCGCCACAACCATATGTTCTTCTTCGCCTATGCATATAAAATGGTTGCAGTGGCCATAGTACTCTGCGCAAGTGGCACACTGGCGGCCTTTCTTGTCGTCTACCCATGACGTGTTTCAGCGGTGTTCTCAGTGCTGTATAGTGTAAAAGGAATTTACGTATCTGTTCCGCGGATCACAACAGAGAGACGACGATATTCCTTCGACTAAAGCAGCTGTACATGAGGATATACTGATAACTGAACATCACGTGTCACGAGAACTATGTGAGAACTGTATCGATGAGCATGTAACGATAGCGACCTTTACTGCGATATTCATTTCACTCAAAATCACACGAATTCTCTTTCTGAATATGTGGGTGTAGCAACCCCCCTCCCCCTCTTCTCCTCGACAAAGCGGCTTTCTCCGTATATTATTTGAAATATTTTGCGTACGAGGAGTCATCTGACGGGTGAACGGCCACTACGTGAACGAGAGGGAGCGGACGCTTCGGCGGAACGAGACAACAGTTTGCGCCGCGGGATCCATAAAATTCAGCGAGGCAAGGCCCGTTAAGAAGTCCAGACGACGAACCCGCTCGGGACGTGGAATTAATCGGGACGATCAGGCGGGCGAGTGGTTTTTCTCGCAGATTGCACGAGCGAGCGAGAAAGAGACAGAGGGAGAGAGATAGAGAGAGAGAGAGAAGAAGAAGCGAGAAGAGCGAGAGAACCGGGACCATGAAGAACGCCCATCCGATCATCAGCGCGACGGCTTCCAGTCCGGTCGGTCCGGATTCCACGGGCCTCGACGAGCCGGCGGAGCCGATCATCCGGCTGAAGCTGCAGAAACCGCTGCACTGGGAGTGGGAGCTGACGACGTCCGCCGACGCGCTTCCCGTCATCCAGCTGTTGGACAAGGACGGCCGGCTGCTGGTGGAAACCACCGGCAAAACGGCACAGCGGGCCAGAGGCTCCTTCAAGGAAGGTCTAAGGACCCACGAGCAATTCCCCACCGACGAGCGCACCAGCTCGAAGACGGAACAGACGCCGCCGTCGTCGTCAACGACGTCGTCCTCCGTCTCGCACGTCACGGCGGCGCCGTTCCAGGGCAACCGCAACATCGACGGCTTCAGCAGCAAATTCGGTACGTGCAACTTTGTGCCGAGGAAGTCCCGAAGCGACGTGAACGTCAGCGAGGGACGCAGTAGGAAAAGACACTCACCCGCGGTGAAGAGCTCGACGATGAGGACAAACGGCGAGGGGAGCGTCGATGGGATGACGACGGGACTCAAGAGATACTCGGCGGGGGACTACCTACGGCAGCAGATCATGGACGACCTACGTACGCGCAGCACGATCGGCAAGAGCCCGGAAGAGATCGCCAAAGACAGATGCAGGAAGGTCAAGGCGTATTTGAGGAGCCAAAGCGAGACCCTGCTAAGCTTGGTGCGCGAAGAGGAACACGACGGAGACGAGATAGTGGACCACCCTGAGACCAGGACGCTCGGCGAGAGCGCCGAAGGTCGCAGGGTGAGGAGAAGCGACACCACGGAGAGACGAGCATATCTTGAGGAAAAGGAAGCGAAGAAAGAAGGGAACAATAAAGCAAAGCTCTACTCGCGCACTCGCAGCGCCGGGATACCGAGCTCCGTGGACTCGACGAGGGCGGACAAGCCGAACGAAGGGGACAGACTCGTCCGCAGGATAAAGGGCGACATGAACGAGGAGGAGCTGGCGAATATCAAGGCGTTCCTGCGCGAGAAGATACAGCGGCGAATGAATATGGAACAGGCGCGCTCGAGGTCGGACGTTCGCGCCGGCGTCCCGGAAGCTGTCGAGAACGTCGGTATCAGGAAGAGATACTCGGACTACAGTCACGGGAACGATCGCAGGAACTACAGGACGCGGAAGGTACGCAGCGAAACGAGCATCATCCGATTCGATCCCGAAGTGCTCGAAAGAGAGATGCTCAAGTCCAGCAAGCAGCTCGAAAAAGAGAAGCCAACGAATGGCGAAGGATCCCCGGAAAATCCGCCGCTTCAAAGACAATCACGAAACTATCGGCGATCGCGCAGCGACGCCTTGGTCGAAATCGCGGAACCGGACGATCGATCCAAGTCGCAGTTGAAGAGAGAATCATCGAGTCTAGAGAGGAGGAAGCTCTATCGAAAAACCAAGAGCGACGTTCTACTCGGACAAGCGGCGGCCAACGCGGAATCTGCCTGGGACCTCGGCAATCCCCCAAGACGTATAAGGAGCCAAGAGAACGTGGAAAGGTCATGGAGGGAGTTTAAAGAGAGGAAGAGGAGCGAGAGGCTTCGCAAGGAATCGGAGAGAGAAGTGCCCGAAGAGGACTTTATGAGCAAGCCGAGATGGAAGGACCTGCAACGCGATATCTGCTCCTCGCGTAACTGCAAGGTATGCCAGAACCTGAGAAACTGCGTGGACCCACTTCCCGAGCGATCTCGTCGCGCTCGCCGAGAAAACGAGGTCGCCGAGCTGTCGTCGTCCGCCGATACCGCTGCTGCGAAACTCTCCGACGAGACCTCGTCGACGAGCAGCAGCAGGCCCAGCACCAGCTTGCAAGAGAACTACCTGCTCGTCGACGAGGACGCGGACGGATGTCAGTCGCCGATCGTTGCTAAGATCCAAGTGAAAGATCGCGGCAACGACGTCGGCAGCGTGTCCGCGATGAACGTCAATTCCCCCGACTTCGGCTACAACTCGATTCCCAAGAGCGCCTTCAACGACTACCGGGAGCTGTACGCTCGCTCCAACGTGAAGAAAAGCGACACCTTCAAGATCATCGACGGAAGCGAGGAGCTGGAGGAACGAGCCGAGCAATCCGATTCGAAGATAAATGGTGACGTTTCCGACAGCGATCTCGGCTACCTGAACGGCGTGGGCACGTTGGCCAACAAATCGAACGAGGACATCACCAGGGATTACTTCAAGCGAGTTTACGAACTGCTCAAGAGGAGGCAAGAGGAGGCGCGGAAATCGACGGACGGAGGCCGTGAGCTTCCGAGCCGCGACGACTCCTCGTCCTCAAATTACGTCGAGGAGATGCAGAGAGAGAGACATCGCCGCCGGAGGAAGGACAAAAGCCCACAAGGTAAAGTACCCGCATGAGAAACTCTCTGATCGTGTAATCACTAATTAATCAACAATCTCGCTAAATTATGAACGGATTATTATAAACCCCATCGGATATAATTACTATTTATAATTAATATTGCTTCAATTACATTATCGTCGATCAGCAACTGATAATATATCTTATTGGAATAATGGTGTCACTGATAAGAGACATAATTACTCGAGTAATTGATTGTCATAATGTTATAATGTCATATTAGTGTTTCTTAATGTAATTCTTGGACTCCACATTGCTACACAGAGAAAGAAGTTTCTTTGAATTTGATATTCCTATTTGCTCGACACAGCAACATAATTCTACATCAAACAACGTTTAATGGAAAGAATGTTATCAAAAGAAAATTTTCAACCAAATAATACATCACTTAATTACCTTTCAAGTTTTGTTTCGTTGGATTAAATGGTATTATTTTATTAAAAAGAAGAAACTATTAAATCTTAAATATTTGAAAATAATCAATAAATTATTAAACTATTATTATTAAATTTTCCAATTTAATTTACTGTTTGTACTAAGCGATATAATATTTAGTTAAATATTCAAGAGTAATTATGTTATACTAATGTATATTTTGTCAATATCCATCACATATCGATTGTTGTTGCATTATTTCCAACGATTACAAATAAATATGGCTTGAAAAAAAGATTTTTTGGATATTACAGAAATACATTATAAACATAATATTACAATTATACAAAAAGGAGAGAAGACTCGATTAAGGAATACAAACAGACTCTTAGTAATACGAGAAAAGAAACGTCATGTATCTTAAGATTATTTAAACACAATTATCGAATTTCTTTAATAAAATAAAGCAATTAAGTGAAATATTTTTTCTTTGAATCAAACAACAAATTACTTGGACTAAATAAAATTATTTGGGAAGCCAAACAGTCGTACTTATTAATCGAAATATTAATTTTTCTAGACCACTCCAGTGGTCAAATTTGCTTAGATGCAGGCAAATTTGTGAAATCCAAAGAAATCCCTTTCTCTGTGCATGTCCTATATATAATTCTGCTTAAAAAGTCTATATAGTGTATCTAGGGGTGAGAAATTTTATAAACTATTCCTTCGCAATCATTAAAAAGGAAATGAAAGAGAAAAGTCAACAAACGTGTAAGGCTCAAGCGCGTAGAGCTTTAAAGGAATACCACGCGGGAAATACGGAAACTCCAGCAAAGCAGTAATTACAAGCGATGCCTGAGAACTTTAATTTACATTGCCTGCGATGTACATAACTATCTCTCCGCAGGATGGTACGCCTGATATCGCCCTGCGTCTTTTGCTAATGTGGAAAGTTCTGACGTAGAAGCACACCCGCCTTTATTGTGCCCCCTTATATTTATACGACGTCGTATTTCGCGGTGTTTCAAAAATATTTAATAATCCAAATATGACGAAAGTTCCCGCACATCTTATCAAACTGAATTATCGTTGATTTATGTTTTTAATATCATTTCGCGAGTTTTTTTTGCTCTAGTATTTGCTCTAGAAAAACAAAACCTATTACTACAAATCACATGCATACGCGCGTGCATCACGTCGCGGTGTTCAATAAATAAAAACGTGTGATACATAAAAGCTAAATAGACATGTGAAAGACGCTTGAATAATTGTAAAGCCTCCTCATTGTTCCCACGATTTGATGGAACATCGAGATGTCACTCAGATTCGTGACAGTTAATTTCCCGCCTTTTCATCAAGTGGTCCGCTGTGGAAAACTCTGTTTTCGCTTTCAATGCATTTTCTTACGATTTCCAGCCGTTCGCCCCCTTCCTGGCCTTCCAATATCCGTTCTGTCGACCCTTCAAACTTTGAGGATATTTCCACTTCTCCCCAGCGCGGATTCTGCGGCGAGATAATTAAATTCACTCCGGCGGCGCGAGGTATTGACCTTACAACAAATTACGAGAGGTGCCTTCGTTAAGAAGAAACAACGAAATTTTCTGCTCCCTCCACAAATAATTAAATTATTCGCAAATTCGCCGATAACTATCGCCTCGCCGTAAAATACGACTCCTCAGTCGTAATAACGCAGCGGATAAGTGACGACCGCGTAGTTTCAGAATCCTAATAGCGTCATTCGATCGTTAAACGCCAAGAAGAAATAGCAGGTACCTTCACGTGTCATTTAAATGTCAAACATTCGACAGCCATTCGATGAGATTTAACAAACGTTAACCTTCAACTTTTATGAATTATAAAGTACGACCTTTCCGCGTGCGGATTGGACTAGATAGATTCGACCTCGTAAGAAATACCAAGCACATCTCTCAGAGCCTAGAAGCTTTCTCCGGCATTGTCAATTCTCAGAAGTCTTACATAAACTTCGAGACTTTCGGCTTAAAGGCTCGCAAGCTTTCCCCTTCCCATAAGGTTTATGAAAATCACGCACGTTTAAGACAGTTCTCTGGTGCACACACGTCTCCGATCTGTTCAACAGCTTTCGCGAGAGAATCTTGTTATTACAACGAAGAGAAATAAGGCATATGTGTGTGTAGTCTTTTGACCTATAGACTGTTCTAAAGAACGGCCAAGCTCTCGTAAGCTTTTAAGCCCCACATTTTGCGGCACCCAAAATATCTTAAACTATTTTTTTATAAAATTGTAATTATTTATGAATAAATTAAAGATATATAAATATCAAAGTGATGCGCTTCATCATTTGGGAGAAAATAGCCCAAAAAGACATGTTTTCTGCCAAAATAAATGATATTGTCAAGACCTTTATAGAAAACGTACAGGAAAGGTTGCAAGAAATGGGATGAAAATATTTATCAATAAAATAATACGGATTATAAGTGCTAATATTTTTTTATTTAGGATGACTTTTACCAAGCTCCGATGAACTTAATCGTCGATTAATTTCGTTGTGACCAGCAAACAGCTGATGACGAGTTCTGCTAGCAATCCTTAATCTACTCATAAATAGTTATAATTTTGTCAAAAAATAATTCAAGATTTCAAATGGGGTTAAATTTGACCGCACTCTTTCGATCTTTGTGCACAGCTTCACATTCTCCCACGAAATAAATCTTTCAGTATGCACTCGCGCTGAGAAGACATAATTTATTGTCTCCTATTGGGAGATCATTACGCGAAGCTCTTCGCTCTATTATATCCGCTCCCTCACGAACATCTCGTTCGGTCAGCAATAAAATCGCGCACAGTGAATATTTTATAACCTTCAACATCATCGATCACGTTGCCGCCTTAACTTTGGGAATTTCTCTCGGAATTTCTTTGAATATATCCGAGAGAAGAGTGATTTTTCCTTTTACATCTCACTGAGTTTGCACATGGCAAGAAACATTTTATATTTCTGTTGAAATCGATCCGTGTAGGAACTTTTGTGTTAAATTCCTAACAAAATATTAACAAATTTCCTAACAAAGCTGCGTTTTTATACTAAAAAAAGTATTTAAAAATTTATTTGTCGGATATAAAATTTACCTCTGGGAAATAAAATTTATTTCTGTGAATAAAATTTACATACTACAAGTAAATTTTCAAGAATCTCTTTCTCAGTCTATTTGTCATCATGCTTAGAAAATAAATTGGAAATTGCAATAAAGTAAAAGGTACTGACACAGTTTCCTACGTGAAGAAATAATTAATATATTCAGACAAATATATTAATAAATTCAAGGAGCTATATATATATATATATATATATATATATATATATATATATATATATATATATAT